AACTCAAACCATTCTATGATTCTATGATAATGAAAACATGAATTAACATAGAGCACACAGCAAGGAAAATGTTAGCCAAAGTGAGTTAATTCTTGGCAAAATTAATAAGGATTTGTAGTGAGATTGTTAGGAAACGTTAGGTGGCCCTGGTGTTGTTGTCTGATAAAATAAATAATCTGGTTAGCTTGAAAGGAGATGTCTCCTCTCAGGGAACCTGTGTCAGCTAGATTATGACATAATGGAAAGTTGTCCAAAAGGGCTTCACTTACTTTATGTAAAAAGGAGTTACAAGGCAAACAAACTTAAATGTTCTTTTTTCCTTTTCTTTTCTTTTTCTTTTTTTCTCATGGTAGAACAGGGAAACCAACCAGCAATGGTGCAGATAATGTGACTTTTGACTTCTCCCTGCCCCCCAAATGTTTCTTGAGCATCCCTTCACGTGCATGTACATTCCTTCTGTATGTTCATTGCTGTCTCTCACTTTAGGTTGTGTTCGATACTTTCGTTGTTATGTGGGTAGTACCATAAAGTCTGGAGAAGAAACATGGTGGAATCTGAGAAAAACCTGCTACCAGATTGTTGAACATTCCTGGTTTGAATCTTTTATCATATTCATGATTCTTTTGAGCAGTGGAGCCCTGGTTAGTATAGCACAGTTTTGTGTACTTATTTAGAAGCATTTTTAACATTAATTTGCACAGAGAGAAGTTGTTTTCAGCAGAAAACACAGCAAATATCTTTGAACTTACCAGAAGAGAAGAGGCTTCACATCGCAGTCATTTATTCACTGTTGTAATTATTGTAAATGTATTATTCATATTATGAAAAATTATAAGGGAGAATGAGCAAAGCTAAAAATACATAAATTTCAGAAACTGTTTCTATTCTGGTTGTATACTGGATATTTCTCAGGAAGTTATTTCACATTTGTGAAATACAAAGGAGATTTTATATCATTAAAAGAAGTAAATGACTCTTAATAGCTCGAAAAACAGTACCTAGTTCTCTTCAATGTATAAACTTCTTGAAATAAATTTCTCAGAAGACATATACTTTCCTTATAGGATTCCAGTGTGCATGATGTGTGTGTCCCCAGTGCTGTGCTATATAGAGAAAACCAAAGAGAAGGGACAGGGAGAATTTCGGATTTACCAGCTGATACAGATTCGAGTAAAAGTTTGCATTTAGATGTGTGTAAGGTACCTACTGAATGATGAAGGGTTCTTAATGATGCTAGACTTTCATTTTATAAAGCTCATCTCTGACTTTTACCGTTTATCTATGTATTATGATTTCAGGCATTTGAAGACATACATATAAATGAGAGAAAAAGCATTAAAACTATGTTGTCATTTCTTGACAAAATGTTCACTTTCATCTTTTTTCTGGAGATGCTCCTGAAATGGGTGGCTTATGGCTTCAAGAAGTATTTCACTAATGCCTGGTGCTGGCTGGACTTCCTTATTGTAGGGGTAAGTTCTGTCTTTGGTGTTTCTACAGGGCTTGTGATGCAGGATGTAGTAGAATTACCGATTATTTTCTGGACACAAAGTTAAGACAGCACTCTTGCCTCCTTTAGCGATGGTTTCAGAATATTGCACTTAGGGCACTGAAAATATGGGAAGATTTGGTTTTGGTGGGTTTTGATTTTGTTTTTGCTTGTTGGTTTTTGTTTTTAAACAGGAATAAAGGAAGCAGATGTCAGGACATAGCTAATGCTTTCTTTTGTCTTCCCTTTCAGGTATCTTTAATAGACCTCTTAGGCAGCTCATTAGGGCCCATGAAATCTCTTAGGACTCTCCGAGCTCTGAGGCCCTTAAGAGCATTGTCTCGATTTGAGGGAATGAGGGTAAGACTGAATACAAGTTAAAGCTTGTCAGTATAATAAGCATGTAACGGGTTCATAACTCATGACATGTGTCTTTATAAAGTTCACATGTCCATCCCAGGTTCAGTTTAGGACCTATAAAATGATTTTCTAAAAGGCGCATTTGCTGTGTTCCTCTGTACTTGGCTGCTACTTACAGGCTTTCCTCAAGTAATTGATCCTAAGGGCCATTGAAACTAAAAATAGACAGGGCAGAACTTTGTTCCATTGCTGCTCAGTCATTCTAGTGTTCCTGTCTTACTGAGATAGCCAAAATAAAATAGAGAATTCTCATTTTCAAAATCTGACGGCAAGCTAATTTAGAGGAAAGAATTGCCTCCCTTCCACAAGTTTTCACTGCACTGATTTACAGAAAATTAGGCTATTAAATTATTGTTCTAAATAGACTTATTCTTTCAAAAAGCAAGAGTGTTTGTAGGATATTTGCTGCCTTTTTCTATCAAAGGAGCACCTGGAACAATGTGAAGCTGCTGGATGTTAATAACACTTAGTTGCAAATCTATCACTGACCAAATGCAGAACTCAGCTGTACACTGCAGCATGAAACAGTATGATAACCACAGCGGCATTAGGTCAAAAGTCTGGTCTATGGAATATACTCTGGTATGTGAAAACAGGTGATGGAAATACCTATGGCATCACTGTCACATACTTACCTGGAAATGCAGCCTTGATATAGATTGTCCTTGAATATCTTCTGGAATTGAGACTGAAAGTTCTCCAATTGCAATCTTATCACAGTGCAGGCAGAGAAAACTTGCATAAAATTAATTAACAATGTATCAAAATTTCCATGTCTGGAGTCAATTTTGAAACAGATGCCGTTGTACTTTCTGGTGTCCAAAAACCTTCACAAAGCTTTTTCACTTTTCTTCTTGTCCTTCAAGTTGTTCTTTACTACCTGACAGCTGAGTTTACTGCCTTCACCATATTCTCATGGTTTTCTTACTTTGTCCCATTTTATGAAGCAATCTGTTATGTCTTAGCATGCACTTAAAACCTATATGGACATTTTTTGTGGCTGTACAGCACCTAGCACAGAAAAAGTACCTAGCTCATGGTTATAGACCCCAAACATGATCATAATCCACTGAAAATAATAGATTGAGCAAAATACTGGTGGGTGATTATTACTAGACCTTTTAAAAACTACTTTCTACAGTCTTAATGCAGTCTTCTGCAGCAGTGCTTATGGATGAATAGTTCATAAAATTTATAATATAAAAGCTTAAGACTAACAAACAAAACATCCCCCACTCCAAACCCAAGGGAAAGTCATCAAAAGAGAATGGACTCACACTTACGTGGTAGTGGCTTGCAGCAGACCAAATTATTTCAATTATTCCTTTGAAAGTCTAAGATATACTAGAGACTCGAGTCTTTTTTCAAGGTACCCCTGCCAGCTGTGACTAGTATTAATCTGGAAAACATCAGGTTTCTGTTTGCTGAGATGACTAATTGACTGCTTATTGCACTGAGCAAATTCATGAGCCCATCTTTGTTTAAGTGTGTTTTTCCTCTCCTGTTTCATCCAAGGTGGTTGTCGATGCCCTCTTGGGAGCCATCCCTTCCATCATGAATGTTCTGCTTGTCTGCCTCATCTTCTGGCTCATCTTTAGCATCATGGGAGTGACCCTCTTTGCTGGGAAGTTTGGGAAATGTGTCAATCTGACAGAAGAAGATTCAGAATTAAATAATTCAATCAATGACATAACAGACTGTAGAATGTATAATAACACAGGAAAAATATTCTGGATCAATGTTAAAGTCAACTTTGATGATGTTGGCTCTGGCTACTTGGCTCTTCTTCAGGTGGTAAGTGCTGCTTGCCTTCACTAGCCAGCACCACGTCATGTGGAGTTGACCTCCTGTCAACTCCTAACTCATGTCTGTGGGTGATGGAAAACAGTGGTATCATACAGCTGGCTATTCCCTTGTAGCTGGCTGTTCAAACACTAGTGCTGCACACTCACACAAATAGAGAATTTGCAGGTGATAAAGTAAGCATCTGGGGTACAAGTGCTGTTTGATCCCCCAGCAGGTTCACAAGCCTGAGAGCTAGCGTCTATCTCAGAAGGAAATCTGGGGCAAATACTCACCTAATCTGCCCAAATACCGATTGTTTAGCCATGAAGGTTGTAAATCCTTTAATAAACCATGCTAATGAAGGTTTGCTCTGTCAGCATCCTAGGACAACATGTTCTGCCCCACTCTAGCAAGCTTTCATATCCAGATAAGGCTGAAAATGCTTCACATACAGCAGAGGCAAGTTCCCCTAAACTCAGAGCTTGATGCTTTGTGTCTGTGTGACCATACCAGTCTGTGTCATTTACCCTGACTTTTACCTTGAAAGTTCAACATGTTTTCCATAATCTCTCATTCTAGGCAACATTTAAAGGTTGGATGGAAATCATGTATGCGGCAGTAGATTCACGAGAGGTCAGTCACTATAGTTAAACTATATTTTTTGTTAATGCTACTGCTTTCTGCAAAAGCATTATGATTTCTGCACTTCTGCTGTTTATGCTAAATTTTTCCAGTGATTATTTTTATCCGCTGATGTAAACATTCAATCTGTGAATGATTCATAGTGTCTTACAGCTAATCTGTTGTAATGGGGAGAGGAATTCAGCTCCAGGTCCACCAACCAAAATGCAGGTAACTATAGCGTAAGGTTTCCATTTGAGTTCACCTCCAAATGCCCTCCATGGGTAATGAAGATCTAGTCAATATGCTCAGAAGGATCTAGGCAGTATTTCTCCTCACCTTGGAAACCTATATTGCTCAGCTGAGCACCTCTTTATAATATGTTGACTCTACTAATGACTGAATGTCCATCAGCAAGCCAGGGACTTGAAAGTTCCCATTCACATGGAAGCACCTATACCTTAACACATCATATTTGATGAAACTTAAGCTTAGAGTAAACCTGAATATTTTACAGTAATATTTCAAAACAGTCCACTCCAAAGCATAAAACCAAACTTCACCAAGAATTGAACTATTGTGGGTAAGCAACCGTTTAAAATACATTGTCAAGCATCACTAGCACTATTTTGCCTATTGTTTATATTGTCAGTCACATTTGCTGTCTTGTTAGAAGTATCATCCAATGTTATGCAGAACAAAGTGGTATGTCTTTGGAGGCAAAGAATTTAAAATGAAGAGGTTATCTTAATTTGATCATGAGTTCAAAAGAATCAAGTAATTTTAAAAGTAACCATATATGAATTTTGTGCATGTGCATTTCAGTGGGGTTTTTTGTGTTTTGATTTGAAAAAATTCTTGCTTTGATTTTGTTTTTGTCCATAATGGCCATTGGAGAAGTTTTCTGCTGAGAAGAAAGAAATATATCTAAGCTAATATTTTTAATGGCAAGAGCTTGGAGTTAGACTTCTAAATAGTTTGCTTAATTTTTCAAGTACTGAGCAATTTACAGATCCTATTCTTATTGGAAGAAGCTGAACCAATGTGTCTGAAATGATTGTGAAAATCATGGCAAAAATGTCCAATTCAGTAACTGTTTCTATTGACTTTAGCAAGGTCTCAATCAGTTTCAAACTGTAGGATTTTAAGTCAGATTTGAAAATGAAAAAAAAAACAAACCAGCCCACAACAGCATCTGAGCAATAATGTCTGTATGAGATCCTAGAATTCTGATGCATCATGTAGTCCAATATGAACATTACTTTCTTCCACCATTTTGTTCCCCTTCCAGAAGTGTTATATACATGTAAAATTTTGTGTTATGAAATATTGGTAGTTTTAAACTATGCCAATTTTGTCAAAATTAGCAGTAGGTCTATAATTCTGGAATCAATTCGTGAGAAGATCCGCAATACGAAGATTATTCTGAATTTGGTGCATGTTGTTATTGGTCATTTTTCATGTTGCTTCTTATCCTTGCAGAAAAATGAACAGCCGAAAATGGAGCACAGTCTATTTATGTATCTCTACTTTGTAATCTTTATCATCTTTGGATCTTTCTTTACCCTGAATCTCTTTGTTGGTGTTATTATTGACAACTTCAACCAACAAAAAAAAAAGATAAGTATACCGGTTGTGCTCTCAGGCAACTACTATGTCTTGAGCAATTCTATCTTAAGAAAACACGGTCCTTCTTATATATAAAATCTAAAACTTCTATTGGCATTCATGAGCATTAGTAATTAAGTTGGCAGAAGTGATACCCAGGGTGAGTTTCTGCCTCCATTCTTTTCTGCTATAATTAGAACATCTATCTCTTATGTTTTGAAGGCACTGACATCCCTGCTGCCCCTTAAAATTTTGCTCCTTTTGGGGAACTGAACATGACAGGAAACTTGTTGTTTAGAAAGTGGTCTGGTACAGTTGAGTAGTCGGGATATTCAACAAAACCAGAATGTGGGAAGCCAGGGAAAGATTTGTTCCTGTCCAGGTTTCCTGTCAGTAGGCCCTTTGCTTTCATGCCTTGTGAGCTAGCTGGATGTCACCCTGCACTTCTGCTCTGTGAATGTAAGGTTTGGACACAGTCACACATTATGGAAAAGGCTAGTACCAGCAACACATGAAAAAGGAAGGAATGTTAGTTTCCAGCATTTTAGACTTTATAAGTACAATAGTGTTGCTTTCTGACTAAATAACACTGACGTTTCTTTAAATACTTAGGTGGGGAAGATATCTTTATGACAGAAGAACAGAAAAAATATTACAATGCAATGAAAAAGCTGGGATCCAAGAAACCTCAAAAACCCATTCCAAGACCACTGGTAAGACTATCTGAATTCTTCAAAAGGAAAATGCATTGCAAAAGCGCTATTTAATTCACTAAAAAGTTTGTGTGTTTATATATTGTATATGAATTATTTAAACTGTCTATATATTCGTACTCAGTGCTCAAAAGTTAATTTCATACCAAAAGTTGCACTTAAAGATTTTTCAAGTTAAATATTTATGAAGTTCTCTGCATAAATATTGTTGGATTTTACGTTCACCTTGGAACTGGTTAAACTCCAGGGTGGGAATGGATTTTTAATGTCATTTTTACATTCTACCTTAAATTTCTCCGACTTTGCTATAGTTGAGTGACTATGTAACATAAAAATTCGGACTGTTCGAAACAAGTACAGGTAAATACCCCCTGCTTTCATATCTGATGCCCAACGCATTTTTTTCCTTTAGAACAGGTACCAAGGTTTCCTTTTTGACATTGTAACACGTCAAGCTTTTGATGTTGTCGTCATGAGTCTTATCTGCCTTAACATGATCACCATGATGGTGGAAACCTATGAGCAAAGTGAAACAAAGGCTAACGTCCTTAACAAAATCAATATACTCTTCGTTGCCATCTTTACTGCAGAATGTGTACTGAAATTGGTGGCTCTGAGGCAGTACTATTTCTCAAATGCCTGGAACATATTTGATTTAGTTGTTGTGGTCATGTCACTTGTTGGTAAGTAAAATTGGTATGGCAAATTCTTTGCTGAATCAATTATGATTCTTTTTCAGAAAAAAGTTAATTTAATTTTATCAGCTGCAAATTGGTGTTGGAATGGAAATCATAACACTGTAAAGTCTCCAGGAAAAAGAACTAAAAAACCCCACCATGATTATATTAAAATAATATGGAACAAGATTTTTTAAAAATGTCTTCTATTTTCTTTTAATGAAAATTTCTTAATTAAAAAATAAAGGCACTTGTGTTATGTAAAATCTTTCATAATTGTTCTTTAGGTAGATTTTTCCTAGTCTGAAAGGGAGAATGAATAACTGGTCATACCAGTATCACATTATGTGATAATTTCTATCGTTACAGGTTTAGTGTCAAATAACAAATCTTCGATTAGATAAAAATTGCTGGGTTTTGTCATCTGTGTTTTTGATAGAAAATTGAAAAATACAGAGAATATAAAGACGGGAATTAAATTATAGACTATAGAATTCCATTTCTGGAAACTCAAAGCTGGTTGACTGAAAATAAGGGTTTACACTGTGTAACTGAACAGAAAAGAACAACACAAATGTATCATGGCTTTAATTTGTAGGGATTGCAATGGAAGAATGGAGTAAAGAGCTCTGGCTAATTTGAGAATTCTGCCAATATAACAACTGCTAGGCCCTTTACTGTTAAAATAGCAGAAGGCATTTAGAGGAAGAAAAATATTTTGTTTCTTTAGTATGACTTATGTTTTGGGTAAGGAAGATTCCAGTAAGAGTATGGTTCTTCCTTGAGAAATGAAGTTCCTGGACTGGAAATCCAGAAAAATGTATCAAAAAAATGTATCAAAACCTAGGAAAGCCAAACCTCTTCTAGTGCTACTAGATCTGTCATTTATCACATAAGCTAAAGATAAAATAATATCATTGTGTAGCTATGTCTCTGAATGAACTAAAAGCCATTGTGGAGTGGCATGCACTACCTCTGTGTCCCTCACTGGGTTTGCTTATACATATCTTGACTATATTATCTAAATGGTGACCATGACATAATTATGTCTTGTTTTCTTAGTTTAGCTTTGTAATGTCAGTATTTGAAGTTAAATTTAGAAGGTAAGTGCATAACTTGCACCTGCTGAAGTATTCATGCAATGAGTGTCAAAGAAAACCATCAGTTACTGAGCGCTGACTGATTTGGATGTTTGAAGTTGTACATAGAAATGTGTTTACCATCCTTAGTACAACAAATACTATCTTCTGGTGGCTGAAGAATGTAGTTCATAAGTGTTGATTTCAGCTTTTTTTTAAATCTAACTCCTATTAAAGATTGTTCTGTTAGGGTCTTAGCACACATGCGTCAGATATTTTCAATTGTACAGATATTATAATTTCATCCTACTTACTAGTTAGGCTGAAATGTGATATTCTAACCAGTTGTTATCCTTTCCATTTTAGCCTTATTGCTTTCTGGCATTGGTAAAGCATTTGAACATTTCTTACCACCTACACTCTTCAGGGTCATTCGCTTGGCTCGGATTGGACGAATACTGAGGCTCATCCGGGGAGCCAAAGGAATTCGAACTCTGCTTTTTGCATTAATGATGTCCCTACCTGCTCTGTTCAACATTGGCCTCTTGCTTTTTCTGGTCATGTTTATCTATGCCATTTTTGGCATGGCTAACTTTGCCTATGTGAAGATGGAAGATGGCATTGACGATATATTCAACTTCCAAACTTTTGCTAACAGCATGCTCTGTCTCTTCCAAATCACCACGTCAGCTGGTTGGGATGGTCTTCTCAGTCCTATTTTAAACACTGGGCCACCATTCTGTGATCCAAACATAAACGGTACTATAGGTGAATGTGGTAAACCTGCCATAGGTATTATTTATTTTGTAAGTTACATCATTGTGTCATTTCTTATTGTTGTAAACATGTATATAGCTGTTATTCTGGAGAATTTCAATGCTGCTACAGAGGAAAGTACAGAGCCTTTGGGGGAAGATGACTTTGACATCTTTTATGAAATCTGGGAGAAGTTTGATCCTGAGGCAACTCAGTTTATAACTTTCTCTGAACTTTCAGACTTTGCAGATGCTCTGTCTGAACCTTTACGGGTACCAAAACCAAATAAAGTTGAACTCACAGCAATGGATCTACCTATGGTCAGTGGAGACAGGATCCACTGCTTGGACATCTTGTTCGCTTTTACTAAACGAGTGTTAGGAGATTCTGGGGAGCTGGATACTCTAAAAGTACAAATGGAGGAGAAGTTCATGTCTGCCAATCCATCAAAAAAATCCTACGAGCCAATCTCTACCACACTCAGACACAGGCAAGAGGAAGCATCTGCCACTGTCATCCAGCGTGCCTACAGGAGTCATTTGCTCCTGCGCTCTATAAATCAGGCTTCTTACCCATACAATCACAGAACATGCAGTATTGACACTCTTGGAGATGCTGCTCCAGAAAAAGAAGGACTTATTGCATCTATGATGGGTGAAAACTATGGTAGGAGTCCTGACAAGTCTGAAACTTTGTCCTCAGCATCCTTTCCTCCATCATATGACAGTGTCACAAGAGCCAATAGCGGCAATCTCGTGGTTGAGAATGGAGAAATTACAGGTAATCAACAGTCTCCAGACATTCAATAGTTCATCAGTGACAATGTTGCTAAGAATATTTTAAAATGTTCACAGAGTCTGATATTGTAAATACATGTCAGCTGAGGCAGCCTTCCTATTGAACAAAGTCTTTTGATCGTGATCAGTTAACAATTAAGTATGGTAGCTGCTAAATTGTTGCCTTTGGCTCTGCTGCATTCAGCTTTGCTCAGTGTTTACGTATGTAGAGAAAGGGTTTGGATCTGTTGAATCAAGGGCACCCCACTGCAAAGCAGGTCCTGTAGTACCTGAGTGCTGTGGTGGATTCACAGCAGTGGTAGGTAACATCTGCTGACATTACCTCCAGAGTAAGAAGCAGAGAAAAGCCCAAGCACCAATGGATCTACAGGAGAACAGAAAAAGAATGTTAGTGTTAAGATAAATTGCTGAAGGGAAAGGACCTAGATTTTACCCTTAGTCCATTCCTAATTGATACTCTTATTATAAGCCTGTTAAGCAAAGGGCTGCTGATTTCCTTTTTTATTTATGTTTGGGGACTGATGTACAAACATAGCCACTGCATGAGCAATAGATACGCCACAGTGTAGTGGACTTCTTCCAATATGATCGATTTACAGAATAAGTCATGGCATGTATGCTATTGTAGTTGTGTTGCTACGGCTTAATGAAATAACAAATACAACTCTTAATGTTACTACAGAAGTTTTACCGAACTGAGTAAAGCCTTGCTTTATATTTTGGCTGTGAGGATTATTATTTTTTTTAACCTGGTTTCCTCTGGAAGTGAGGTGAAGGCACTCTATAACAAACTGTGTTTATTACATACTTTCTTCAGACTTCACAGAATGGTTAAGTTTCATGCTCAGGTTCATTCCTGCCAAGGTGGTCGTGAAGAGAGACACAAATAAACATTTCCATTGGGTAGAAATTGGCAGCATCGTTTCAACCACTCCCTTAGATACCAGTAACCCACACTGGGGAGTGCCCCATACGAGCTGCCTTTCTTCATGGTGGTGAGCATCATCCATGGCCATGGGATGAGACCTTTACCTGAGGTGGATGTGCTCCATTGGTGGAAGGAGCCTTTATCACTTCAGCCTGTGTTTCTCTGATGGGAGGACCAGCTTTCTCTCTCCTGCAAAGATTAGAAGAAACCAAAGTGTAAGTAATATGGACAATTAGGAATTCTGGGTTGAAGCATTTAGGTCTGGGGGTTAACATAGAACTATGGATGTAATCATAAATTTTGCTTCTCCTGAAACCGTGTGCACATGGTCTCTCATGATCTTCACCACGTTTTCCTTATAGAGTTCTTTATCTTTCTTCACGTCTTTAACTAGCCTGGGCTTCTTACAAAAACACATGCCCAAACATTGTTGTCCTTTGTCCTCTGTACATGTACTTTAGAGATACTTCCAGCTGATGCACTTTGCTGTGTAATGACTGTTGTGTTATCCCTTGTCATGTACAAGACATAGTTATAAATTACCCATGACATTTTAATTTCTTATTTAAACTTCAAACACGTTATACACAACCTAGTTACAATGTTGTAGGTGCGTAGTCACTGTTGGGTTTGGCAGGTTTTGGCAAGGCTCAGGTGAGCTTTTCCTTCTGCACTGCTTTTTGCCAGAAAGCAAAGCAGGTTTTGCAAGTGAGTGGGACCTGTTGTACACTTTGCAACCTGCAGCAAGTTGCCTGCTCTCTTAAACACTTCTCTACTGTGGCAGTTATATGTCCTGTCCTGTATAATTTCCTTTTTCTTGTGTCTTTTTCACGTCTTCAGATTGTGAGCTTTCTGGACAGGAATTCTCTTTTACTATGAAAGGTAAATTACACCTAATAATAAGACTCTGTTTCCAGCTAATACTGTCTGAACATTGAATACAAATAAATATTTACATACCTTTTAATTTCCTCTGTGGTATTCCCTTAGCTTCTCCTAGCTATTCCTAGCATCATAACATCTTCAACTAGTTTTGTCTCCCTCATATTTTAAGACAGGTGCATTGTGAATCTGTATTTTACCAGGGAAGTCAACAGCTCTGTGTTATTGGAACCCAACAGACTCTTCCTTCATGGCAAAAAGTAAAACTAACTACAAACAAATTAATTAAATGGTTTTATTTGGCTGAAATTATTTTTAAACCACTTGCCCAGTTTGTGACCACCACAGTTCAGGAGCTGACAACATGGCATTTGTGAGATGCTGTTTCTCAGGTCCTGCCTGTTCAATGTATGATTCCCATCATGTGCAGAGTCCATCAAGAAGCAATAGTGATGTTCCCATTGGTTTGGGTGTGCAATGAACAGTCCTGACATCCGCTCAGGATTGTATGTTTAACACATCCATACTCAAAGGTAGTGCAACTGATCTTTGCCAGTCTGTGTGCCAGGAAGGCGTATTTTTAATTGTAAGAATGGTTTATTGACAGCTACGTACACAAGCCTCACTGAAGTCTGTCTGCCTGGGAAGGCTAGCCTGAAGCTGAGTCAGAGCTCCACCAGTGTAGGAGATTGGTTACAAAAGATCGTTTTCTACCTAAAGCGAGTTGTTTATTGGTGCAAGAAATTACAGTTACCTCTTAGAGTGAATTCCACCTTCTGCAGAAACCCTTCTCAGTAAAGGTGGTATTGTTTGGGGAAAGCCAAGTCTCTTGCCACGTCCTTTAACCCTTCTGGTTCTTCTCTGAACTCTCTTCGTTTCAGATACTACTGATGTCCATATTAAAATCCTACCTTTTGTGTTGTGGCATACAGTCTTGTTTCCAGATGCGCCACTGTCTTTTTGGTCATACAGAAGAATGATGTCTTATGTGCTTGAACCCTTTTAGCCACTATTCTGATAGCGTTGCGTTAACAGCTTGGTCTCTTCAGCGTTTACCTCTTCCATAATTTCTGTATCAAATTTTACCCCAAATTACTGATTTTTTAAAGACATTATGAATAGAGACAAAAAACCATGAGGGCTGAGAGCCTTTCCCTTTGACAGGCCATGAGAAACATGAGATCAGCAATATGCTGTTTCTGTTTATTCCCTTGATAGCAATGTAGCACAATAAATATACCAATGAATGACATGAAAATACCAGAACAAATGTAGTGGGCTTGATTTAACTACCTACAGTGCATAAATTACCCTGGAAATTAGAAGTGGCTTCTGTTCTTCAGAGGTTGGAATTGTGAAACCGCTTTGCAGCAGGAACAAAGGAGCCAGTCTTACCAGAAAGTGAATAGTTAGACATTTCTTCAAGGGATTATGTGCCATGGATCTTTCAAGCGGATGTGTGACACAGCAGGCCCCTTGGTTCCTTCTCAAATCCCTTTGAATTTAATAAAATTAAGACTGGGATCTGCAGCAGGACACTGAAACTTGTTGAATGCTTCCTCCTAGTGGTTTTAGGTCCAAATTACATAATCACAGTGTA